GGGAATCCGTGAGTCACAGAGGCTGGAAATACGCACCCCCTCTCCACCCGTCCCCTCCTCCTGATGGCAGCCTGCGGGAGCGCACTGGGGGGCGCTGGGTATTCTGATTTCACTGGGGGTGTGCAGGGTGAGACATCCCTCCGGAGCGTCACCTGAACCAGCAAGTACCCCTCCCCTCTGAGCCGCCGGGTTCCAGCCAGCTGTGCCTCTGGGACTGTGTGACCCTGGGTCCTTAGCTCAACCTCGCTGGGCCTGGAAGCCTGGAAGCCTGGAAGCCTGGAAGCCTGGAAGCCTGGAAGCCTGGAAGCCTGGAAGCCTGGAAGCCTGGAAGCCTGGACCTCGCTGGGCCTGGAAGCCTGGAAGCCTGGAAGCCTGGAAGCCTGGAAGCCTGGAAGCCTGGAAGCCGAGCGCCCTGGTGTGGCCCACCCGCCTTTGTGTCCCTGGGCCTGGGACAGTGCCTGGCACATAGTAGCAGGACAACATAGACGTGTTGAATAAAAGAATGAGTAAAAGGAAGAGACAGGCAAGTGGAAGAGAGAGTGCGCCAGGGCCTGCTGAAACAGTCCTGGGGACAGGCCCTGTGCTAGGAAGGGCATCCCCCAGGGCTATTCGAGTCCCTCCTGGCGGCCTGGAAGCATTCCCCGCACACATGCATGCCCACAATCATGACAGGATGCAGACATGCAGGGAAAGGGTTATGGGGGTGCCTCCTCTCTGCCTTTTGGCAGTTGGAAAAAGGAAGAAAAGAAGAGAGAATCCTGGGATTCAGGCCCAGCTGGGTCTGGGGAGCCCATGGAGGAGGGCAAGGGACACCCACCTTCCTGTCTTTAGCTTTCACTTGACCACCACCCCCCACACCCCCTGCACCCCCCAGCCAGCCCCAGATCTGCAGGAGGAGGTGTTAGTTTATGCTGGGCCTTCTCAGCCGGCCCCTCCAGCCCCGGGTTTGCAAAGCAGACAGGTGCTCTCCAGGTCTGTGGTACTCTTTTATTGTGGGTAGGGGTACAGCGCCAGCTCTCTCCATGCCCCCTCCTAGCCCAAGGGCCCCAGATGGCGGAGTGAGAGGCCTCCCTCCAGCACGCTGACCCGAGAGGCACAGAGGGCAGGGGCTGGCCCTGCGGCTTG